CTCATATATATATGTGTGTGTGTGTGTGTGTGTGTGTGTGTGTGTGCGTGGTGCGTGCGTGCGTGCGTGCGTGCGTGCGTGCGTGCGTGCGTGCGTGCGTGCGTGCGTATTGGTTACCATTGCGGTGGCCAGGACTGCTACCATAACGATACATGCGTATGCCTTCATAGTTCTGAAAACCACAAACGATATTTACAGTTTTAGTGAAATATATACATATTCTTTTTCGTGTACAAAATTAATGCAAATAAAAGTATCAAATCTTTTCAGAAATGCAGCTGACGATGACGACGACGATGATTTTGATAGTGATGGTCGTATTCATGCCATTGATAATGTTCTATTTAACATTTTTCAGTCAGTGGTAAATGTAAAATATATCACACCGATTTACCACCTGTGTGATTCATCAGTTAAATGAGGATGGACAATTAATACGTTAATAGGTGATGGATACGAAACGAATTTCACCTACTTTAAATACACTTCTATATTTCTATTTGAACGTTTTACTGTAGGCCGCCTACTCCGAAATAAATCTACATGGTTCATAGAAATTTATCAAATACCGCGCTAGCTGTATTATTCATACCAAAAATGCCCGCCAACTAACTATATCAAACACTCGGGGCTCAAATGTTGCCCGTTTACAATTAAACTTCCAAAATCGAGATTCTATATATAGTCCTATATAAAGATACCTGCATTGCATCGCAGCTATAGAACCCGTGTATAGTTTCTTACCTAGTTGGAGCGAAGACTCGAAGCCGGATTCAGTGGAAACTGTGGATGCTGGCTGCTGCAGTGAAGATGGTTCCTTCGTCCGGCAACTAACGAATTTATACTTGGCGAGAAAAGCGTTTGACCGACTTACTGGTGTGTAACCAGCCTATACCGAATGATAACGCATCATGCATCACTCTCACTCTCTCTCTCTCTCTCTCTCTCTCTCTCTCTCTCTACGCCCATACGCGCAGATAATCCCCTACAACGATGAATGCTCCTCTGTTCTCACACGACCGCGTATCTTCCCTTTCATTCATGCGTTCTCTTAATTACGTTACGACTAACTTTTGCCGGTCGCGACAAAAACCCCTCACTGTTCATTATTAGTCATGCTAGCAGCCGATGATTGGTGGTATGCGTGGTTTACCTGCACACACGACAGCAAGGTACGAAGGCCGTATTGTGTAATTTACCTGCCGTTTACGTTTTAATGACTGCCATTTGCTTGACTATATAGATTAACGGCTAGCGTGAATGCCATGCATACGCACGGGAGAATGAGTGCGGGTGTTGTCTCAAGCGGCGGGATAAGTGTCGTTTGTTTGTTACCATATGACAATGTCTATTGTGGATCAAAATGGAAATGCTGGCCGCGAAAAAAACATTACCATATACAATACACTCACGCGCGCGCGCACACACACACACACACACACACACACACACACTCACGCGCGCGCGCGCGCACACACACACACACACACACACACACACACACACACACACACACACACACGACGCACACACACACACACACACACACACACACACACACACACACACACA